CATATATATATATATATATATATATATATGTATGTATGTATCTTACCAAATTCCAAGCATCTTGCATGCAAAAACAACTGAAAAGGCAACAAAATAAAAAAAAGGCTTCATAAACTTTTTATTTATTTATTTTTTTTATTTTTTGAGAAAATTTAATCACAATGGCACGCACACTACATATACAAGAAATTGAACCCAATATTTCTTAGTGGAAAGTCTAAACTCTCAAACAATTGACTAAGAGGTACTTTAGCAACTTTTGGGATTTAAGTTATCAAGATTTACTATATTATAAATTTGGATTTAGTAGATCAAAAAATGATTAAATCTCGAAATTGGCATACTAATAGATTTAATGAATCCAGTTAAATACTATAAAATTATTTGACAATTTTTATCAAAATTTAAAAGTCCCTTATGTTTGTTAGAATAAGAAATATGGATAAACTTTAATTATTTCATTAAAAATAAAAACTAATTGATTTACATCCTATTAAAGTATTAACAAATTAATTAATCCTTCGATTTTTAATATTCAATCACTGATCAGCTATTTGATTAAGCTAAATCACTTGCTTCCATATTTGATTAAATAGTTTATTAAGTAATTTATTTATAATTATTCATTAGTTTAAATTATTAACAATATTAATGACATTTAATCTCTGAATTTAAATATTTTAATTGAAATATAAATTTATTTTTTCATATTAATGATATAATTATTAAATTGAATTAAATTAAATTTTATTTTAATTATGCTCATAAATAAGTAATTATTTACTTAAATTAATTGATCATTAATAAGAATTTTGTTAAACTAGTTATTTATAAAGCAATAATTTAACATTTATCAAAAAAATAAGTAAACAGTTAATTATTAATTTATTGAACCAATTTAATATGTAATTTATATTATATAAATCAATTATAAAATAATTATTTATCACATCTAAATAGTGATTTGATAATATATTAATAAGCATTAACTATTAATAAATTAAATTAAGTTAAATTAAATTACAGGAAAATTATTGATTAAGCAGATCCGGAGAATTAAAGTTTCATCTGCTTAATTTCTCCTTTATTGCTAAAGGCGGCCTCCGTCTCCACCAGAAATGCAGCAGATGCAGAAAAATTGAAGGTAACAGAAAAGGGAGATATTCTCCCTAGGCGGCGTACCAAAAAACATAAGCTTCTGAGCGCGAGGAGGGATGTTGGTAAGGGGATGGAGGCGGGACTTTAGATCCCCGACGGTGGATTCAGGAGAAATGGAGACTGGTATCTTTTTCCCGCGGAATTTCACGTTCAGAGCGATGGAGGGGCCAGCCTGTGAATCGCCGGCCGTGGCATCTTCGCTTTTCTCTTCCTTCTCCATGCCGGCTGCTCCAGCCAAACGGCGTGGCTGAATCGCATAAACTGTTGCTTCAGAAAACCATTTGGGAAAGAGGAAAGGATACCTGAGGCTGTTTTGTTGCGAGTTGGGGGCCATCTAGCAGCGGAATCTAAGCATCATTTATGTAGTTTTTTTCCCCGTAAATCCTGTCTAAGGTTTGAAAATGTCAAAATAAATCCTAGAACTTTTTCAAATCCTGTTTTATCTCATAAATTGGAAATTTATTAAATGCCTCAGTTCGTCCAATCTAGGGAACTTTAAAACGAGTAGAGCATGCGAAACTGCTGAAGAAAATGAGGGTGGTTTAGCGATACCTTGGGCGTTAACTTGGCTAGAGCAACCCTGACTTCGGCTTCGAATTGCCATGAACTCACCGGCTTATTAGGTGCAATGAGGATATTGTAGGAGTTCTAAACCTTGATAAGCTTTCCTGCGGCGGCGAGCTTGCAGAGACGGAAGAGAAATATGATCCTTGTCCTTTTCTGGATGAATTTGGTGATCGCATACTGGCGAGATCCTGCCTTCTCCTACTAGAAAGTGATTGTCGTCGAGGGTTTTGGGCCTGATTCTGCATGGACCGTTTTGGGTATTCTGGAAGAAGAGATGGGAGAATTTGGAGATCACCGGAGTTAAAATTTATGATATAAATTTGTGGCTGGAGTCAGCGAACTTGGTACATGGTAAATGAGCTCAGTGGAATATACTGGTTGGATATGTTTTTTTTGGCCAAATTTTACTGTTCGGTCACCATATGTGCTGACAACGGACGAGATGCATAGTGGTTCCCGCTGCATCTCGTTCCGGTGACCTGACAGAAAAACACTCATTTTTTTTAGAGCTGTGGCACATTGCCACTGATCCCGAACATAAATTTTACGTCTAAAATCTGAATGTAATTATTTTTTTGTATGATGTCTGACTATTTTTCATCACCCACAAGAAGAACAGAAGAAGAGATTGACACAATATTTTCTTGAGCACTGCTCAGCAAGTATGTCCATCAAACATAATAACACCATCAGAGTCAATAACCAATACATTGAAAACAAATTGTACTCGGCTTGATTGAAGAAAAGGATTTACATAGACAGCATTCAAAACATATGTATTTACATATGTTGCACCCGAAACTTCCTATTTACAAATTTGGCACCTAAAACCTCCTAATTATCACAAAAATCACGCTTCTTTTGGTTTTGCCTTTTCGATGGGCCTAAATTGAGGTCAGGAAGGCCCAAAGCTTTGATGATCCCGGAAGCTACTTATATTATACATATTTAGTTCATTAATTTTTTTTATCACTTATAAAGCTATATTATAATAAGAACAAGAGAATTAATAAGTAATTATCGAGTAAGTTATTTTAAATGATACTTATGTCGTGAGCACTCACTTGAATTCCAAATTCTAGCTCTTACAAGAGCGATGAGAGATCCCTTGAGTTTGTTTGCACTTAACGCCATTCATTAGGTCTTAACTTCAATTGCCTCTTGTTCGCATAACTCGTCGTGGCGGTGTTGGCATCAATTTTTGATATCACATGCGCAGGATGTCCGCTTGAGAACTACCTACTTAAAGATTCCTCCCCTTTCCGTTGACACCTCTTTTTAGCCCCATCGATCCCTTTGAAAAAAATCATTGATATTATTTCGTGAGGTTTGCATGCCTATGTCGCCACCCGTAGTGTTTACGATGATTCAACCTGTGCCATATGGCCCAATATAGGTATCTAACACATCGGGATTCCCAAACAATTTTTTAATCACGATTGGGCTAAACATAAAAAAAATTAAAGATGGTTAAATTTAAAATCAAATTCAACAAAATTAAAAATAAGATTTAATAAAAATCAAACTTAAATATAAAATTTAAAATTAATAAAATTTGATAGAAAAAGTCTTAAATAAATCAATTCATGAAAAAACTAAGATAAAATAAAAATCAAACTCATAATAAACATAAATCAAATTTAAACCAAAATGGAAAAACTAAAAAAATAAATTCTAGCTTAAATACAAGTCAGATTAGTTCAAGTTTAAAAATAAAATTTCAATCAAGCATAAATCAAATTTAAACTTAAATCAAATTGCAAAAATCCACATTAATTTTGTACCACATTCAACTCAACTAATTAAAAAGTTCCAAATCATTAAAATCCGAAGTCAATTAAAAACCATGGTTCATCTAAAGAAGAATTCAAATCCCAATTTAAATTTACACACATTCAATCATTAAACCCAATTCCAAATATTGTCAAGTTCAATTCAATATATAATCATCAAATACTTCAACACTTAACCCTCATCCAATCTAACAATCAAATCAACTCATCAAATAATTATCAAATAAACATTCAAATTTCTTATTTAAATTTACAATTCAACAATCTCTCATGTCATTCAAATATTACAATTAAAACCACATAAACACACACTCAAACCTCACCAAAATCTGAAATGAATTCAACTCTAAATCCTTGATAATTGCAACCCTTGATCTTCACTTAAACATGGCACCAAACTAATTCCACACCACATTTACAGCACAACTTTTACTATCAAATCCGGCACAAATTTAATCGTAAATCAATCCTTAGATCCTATACCAAACTTGTCTAAACCCAACACTAATTCAAGTTCAAATCTAAGCCTAGTACTACACCAAAATCTACTCTTAAACTTTTCTAACATACATACATGTTGCTCCAATTCTACTTTTGGTCATCCAACTCAAATATGATGTTAACCCAACAAAGACAACCATAAAAATGCCTTAATCCAACAATCATTTAGCCCCAAATCCAATTTTAGATCTAGTCACTAAACCTAGTCTTAAACTTGAACCAAATCAATTGCCAATACAAACCTTAATCCAAGGTCAAATCAACAACTAAACATTCTCCAAGCCCGCTTCAATTTTGGCTCAATCCAATAACTTATATAACATCAAATATGCATACTTCAATCACCCAAGATTTTTTCAAATTCAGTAATCCAATAAACCAAAATTTAGTTATTCAATTCAACTACATAACACTCAAACATGCTCAACTCCTGACCCTTTGACAAACCCATCGTTTCCCTTTGTCCTAAACCCCCTTCTCAAATAAATCCTAAGCTCCACAAACAACTAACCAACCATGACAACAAGCATATACCTAGGATAGATGATAATCATTATTGGTAGAAGACATAAGAACCTAGGACAACATTCCCTCCTGTCAGCTCATTGTTAGGATGACACCCATAATTTGTGTCAATGATTGGCGCCAAAAGCTTCCATTCATCAATAATTGGTGTCAATGAGTGTGCTGAAAGCTTCCATTGACCTAAGATGCCTATAAATATTCCCTCACATCTGTGGCTTAAGGCTTGCCACATTTTGAATACCACAGTTCCTATTGCTCTTGCCTCGCTACTTTTCCCTCCTAAACAATTTCGTAAGCCTTCCTTAACCTTCACAGCCTCTCATTCATTATCTGTAAATTTCTTGGATTGGAGCTCACTCACACTAGGGCAATGGTAAGTCCATTTACACATTGTCTAATCTTTCTCTTTGAAGCTTTGAAAGGCTTCAATGAAGCATACTATCACATCCCGAGTTCTGAAGATGGTATACCCGACAATACTGAACATGAAGAAATAAAGTGAACATTTTTCATATTCTTAAATGAAAGTTATGTTCAAGTAATAATATTAAAAAATATTAAATGATAGATTTTATTCTATAAATAAGAATCTAACAAGTAAAACTGAAAGAAAAACATAACTGGTTGAAAGAAGACTGAAATGACAATAGGAAATAACTACCCAAAACTCAAACGAAAATAAAATTAATAATGTGAAAATGAAAACACCAAAAAAAAATCAAGAACTAAAGTATGAGCCGATAGGACTGGTCCTGTAAATGGTTGAATATAACCTATAAAAATATCAACGAGTGAGTTTAAAAAATTAAACTCAATAAATAATCACAGTTTATTAAAGCATAAATAATAAGAGCTTGTGGCATGCAGTATAAATAATAAATGGTGAAAAATACCATGTGTATATATAACATTAAAATGTGAAAAGGGTGTTGTTGACATTGCCATTAAGGCAAATGTTATTATGCTCAATGATCTTAATAAAATATGCAATCATTTAAGTTTTGATTAAAACTTATCACTATATAACATAAAAATTATGTATTATTCAGTTTTAATTCAATTTATATTTATATAGTCAGCTTTATCAGACACCTTGAAACTGAAAAGCAAACACGCGCCAAAGGAAACCTAATAAATTTCTGTAGAGTCGTTGCTTTGCTGACCAATTGTTCCGACTAGCTAATATCCCAAAAGATTTCACTGGCCTACATATCATCACATACAATTTTCACTTGCATAATATATAATACTATGTTACTGCATACAGGCTGGTGACATGACAAATATTTACATACGAGTTCACAAAAGCAAAGTGTAAGAAAATAAAATATTATAGTTGAAAGATTTAATCAAATATGTCGGGAGTTGTGCAACAATGAAATACGGTAACTAATTACTTCATTATAAGTAATTAATAAAGTTTATAACTGGTGCAACATAATAATACAAATAAAGTAGCTATGACATGACTGACAATCTAATAAAACAAGTATGAATTCACTACAAGTAGTGAAGATAATACCCCAAATTAGGAATGATGTGTTTATCTCTTAATAAAAAAATTAATTACTTACCTCAAGGAAACATGAATAAAACTTTTAATCTTTTTATGCTTCCCTCGATTAAGTTGCTACGAAGTGTGCTTGAATGTCCTATGCCCGAAAATACATTAGCTATATAAAAAATGTATTAATTTTTGGTATTATTATTTTTATATTAACTATTATTATTAAATTCATTATAATTCTTTCAACGAAAGTATGATTATACTTAAAATTGATTATAATAGTTTTTTTCATATAAGAATCCAATAAATAACATAAAAATAATTTAATTTATATACACACAAATAAATATGCCTTTGGCTAGGTGAACGAGAAGAAAAAAGGGAGAGAGAGGAAGAGCTACTTGATTTGGGGTTGTAGGGGTGAGTAAGATGAGGTGAGATGACCAACCCTTCAAACTCACATATATAAGGATTTGAGGCGGTAACTTAACGCAACAT